CGCGCCCCAGACCCCAGCCCCCAGGGGTCTCTGGGTGCCCCCTGAATCCCCACGGGTCTGGCTGCCCCCCCAGTACCCAGCAGCCAGGAGTTTCTGGGTGCCTTCCCAGTAACCACGGGTCTCTGGGTGCCCCCTCAGCACCCACAGGTCTCTGGGTGCCCCCCAGGCTGGGTCTGTGCCACATCCCCGCGCCAGCCCAGGCTGTGGGATGGGTGTGGGGACCTTCCCGGGTGTGCCCTGACCCAGCGGGGTGGGCACTCACGTGTTCCTGGCCTTGTTGAAGGAACAAGCCTTGTTGAGGGGGTCTGGGGCTTGCTCTGCTGGGGTCACCTTCAGGTGGCAGGTGATGTAGATCTGCAGGGAAGGCAGGGGGAGGAGGGAGAAGTGTTGACACCCTCTCTGGGGACACCCAGTTCGGGCTGGGAGCAGTGGGACACACACACACACACAGGGGGGGTCCTTACCAGGTTCCTGGGGTCCCCAGCAAACCTGAAGACGTCGATCCTGAAGCGCAGCACGTCCTCCCGGGGCCGGGGGGTGATGAAGGCAGAGCTGGTGGCATCTTCCCTGCCATCAACCAGGCACCTGGTGGGGACACAGGGCTTCCTCAGCACCCTGGCAGCCCTGGGGGGTGGGCGTCCCCAGCTCCCCCAGCACCCACCCGTTGAAGTCGACCAGGGTGTAATGGGGCGAGGAGCGGGTGCCGGGGCTGAGGGCGGCCACGCAGCTGTCCACGAACAGCCTCAGGGGCACGTGGCTCTCGGTGGCCACCTCGGCCTGCAGGTTGAGGACGTCGCCCAGTTGGAAACCAGTGAAGGGTCTCTCGGCGCTCCAGTCCTCTGCAAAAGCAGCGCCCAGGGCTGAGCAAACAGCCCCAAACACCCCGCGGGGAAACACACCCCCAAAGCGATACAGGGGTACCCCGGTGGGGCAGCAGGGAAGGTCCACGTGTTGGGGAAAGGGTGGCAAACCCCCCTGCCCTGGAGGTGGGGATGGGTTCCCACCTACCGTTCATGAGGCGCAGGGAGAACACCAGCCTCTCCTCGGCTGCCAGGGCCGAGTTGAAGGGAGCCCAGGTGGGCTGGATGGCTTTGCTGCTCACGTTCTCCTTCCTGGGTGAGGATGGGGTTGGGGTGTCAGGATGTACCCCTGGAGCGTGTGGGGGGCACAAGGGGAGAGGGGCAGAGGGCAGGGAGCCCCTCACCTGGGGTAGTGGCACTCGATGGGGATGACGGCGGGGTTGCTGCGGATGATGACGGGGTTGCTGGCAGGGCTGGGGTCGTAGTTGAGGAGGGTGCGGTAGATGAGGGAGTCTGGGGTGATCTGGGCGAGGAGCTGGTGGTGAGGCCACCCTCACCTCCCACCCCCACCGCCCAGACACCCGGCTGGGAAGGTGGGAAAACCCCAATCGAGCAGGGGAAAAAAGGGGTGGAGAAGGAGCCCGGCTCTGCTCGCGCTGGGTTGAGCTTCCCAAGGGGATGAAACACAAGGGAAAGGGGGGAGCTGCTGTTTGGGGGAGGGGGGGCTTGGCACCCTCGTGGGGAAGCTTTTGTGGCAAAACACTCCCATTGGGGGGGCCAACACTTGGGGTGTTCATCCAAGGTGCATGTGCAGGTGGTACCCGGGTGTCCCAGGTGTCCCGAGCGCCCGGTGCCACGGGCTGGAGCTGCTGCAGGGGCTGGGAGAGATGGGATCCCCGGGGGCTGGGAGGACAGGGGGAAGGACTTACCTGCACGATGCTGCCACACTCGTGGCG